CCACTAAGCACACCTGACTGATAAAATTCAGTCTTCATTAAACAAAGAACCAGACACACGACACTATTTACAATCCAGTCGAAAGTAACCAATGCAGTCAGTCCTACAGGAATTCAGCTACGAGTCAGAATAGCTCACTGGTAACGTCTCTGACTGATCGTTGAACTGGGTGACGTGAGTTCAAATCTCAGAAAGGAAATGAGTTCCTTCAAGGCTGCAGATACGCCTTATTGACTGTTGAGTGCCAAGCAGCAGGAAACCACCTAGGTCCAGTCAAGGCCTTCCGTGGCTGATTTCCTCCAACCGTCAAATAACAAATGAAAATTTTCATGAAACACTGAGACACTTAATCTTTTTTTTTCAGACCTTTTTATTTGAACTTCATCTCTGTGCGTCGGTGGCACAGTGGTTAGGACAATTTGGGCTACCGATATCCATGCTGAAAATTTCATACTTGTACCGAAAATACAGTGTGGAATCAAGCTGTAAATAAAAATAAAAAACAAATAAATAATATGTTTGTCTTTTTTTTTCGTTTTTTATAAAATTTCAATTAAACTGTCAAATTTTTTTACGATTGTTTCATGATTCTATTCGAATAAGAAAACTCCCAATTGAATAACTAACTACGTTGTTATTTAATTATTCTGAGACATAAAATCCCATGAAATTAAATGTGGTAATTGAGAAAAAACAAGGTGAATGCTGCAATAAAATGTACATAAATTACTACGTAGTTATCCTTTGTTTTCCTTACAGAATTGTGCATGACCCACGAAGGAAAAGTTTCTTAAAATGAAGTAGGATAAAGGCTCCTTTTGGAGTTTAATAAAACCACTTTTCTTTCATATTTTTTTTTGATTACAGCTTGATTCCACACTGTATTTTTGGTACAGGTATGCAATTTTCAGCATGGAAATCGGTAGCCCAAATTTTCCAGGCCGACCATAGATATCAGGTGTGCGTCGGTGTGGGCTCGAACCCCGGACCATGTGCATGGTTGGCGAGAGTTCTAACCACTGTGCCACCAACGCACAGACAAACTGACTTCAACGTGAATATTATCCTAAACGTTACGCAACCACTTCAGAACCATTAACAAACAAAAATCATTGGGTACCCCATTTATTTAAGTTTCTGTGATGCGTTATTTACTTCATAATAAATTCTCAATTTGGATCATAGTTGTGAATATATCAAACAATTTAAGTGTTTGTGATTATAACCACAATTCAGTGTGGAGTGGCAAAACAATTAATCTCATATTTAGAACCATTCATAGGATGTATAAAAGATGGAAGAAGTGTGAAATTATAGGATTTGTAGGCTAATGGAATAAAAAAGGAGAAAAAGTTCAGTCTTTTAAGAAAACTCCCAGAAGTTAATGGATTTCTACCACGTTCTATAGACAAGAATATACAATCAAATCCTGCGAAACGTGATTTATCATCCGTAACCAAGTAAATACTGTACACGAACTTGGAATTCAAAGGTGACTTAGCTTCGGATATCACTGAAAGAGGTATCTCACAGTCCCTGGAAAGGACATTTACTGCTGCAATGGTGAGAGTAGACATTTACAGTCGATCATTACTAATCAATAACCTGAGGGACAAGATCCCGAAACTCTGTGTGCAATTATCAATTCACCTGCTCATGTGGAGCTGGGTTTGTCCATCATTCGACTCGAGTTTGTTCCAAAATGATGCAAGAATACTATCCCGCATGGTTGCGAAGATTTGGAAGTGGTGTGCTATAAGAACCGGAATGATTGAATATCTGGTCGATGATGATCATCCTATCTTTACAGTCTTCGCCTTTAAGGCCATCTACTAGGCGTAAAGTAATTTAAGCAAATCACTACGTATACAACTCATCATAATTGGTGAAGTCATCTTTGGGCGTCAAAACAGAAAAGCCAGATATCTGTATACAGAAAAAGTTCATTTAACCTCTCCAATCTTTATGGTCTTAATCACTCTATGCTAAAGTTTGGTAATTCCTAATCATACTTTCGCTCCACCTTATTTTATTTTATTTATTCAATTTCTTTACTCTTACTTTACTACGTCAATTGTTATTGTTATTATTCTCACTTTGAATTGTTCCCAATATTCTTTAACTTGTTCCGCTTGTCATTCTAAATGAAGTCTGTTTAGCAGCATTCAATTCTATGTTGTCAAATTTCATAAAATGTTACGTGACGTTTTATTTCTTATCCTGTTTGACTAAGAATCCTTTAATTTCACACCCCTTCCAACTTCTGTACATCCTGTGAGTTATTCTATAACTGACATTATTTGTTTTGCCACTTCACATCGAAATGCAAATACAACCACAAACACATTAACTGCGTTATTTATTCTCATTTACAAACGTGAGGCGCATCATGGTCCACCTTGAAACTCAAAGATTTTGCACTTTTGTTTCCAATAGTCCTAATGGGGAATAGAAATGACACAGATTCTATGTTCCAATCATTTATCAATACTTCCCTAAATCATGCCATAATAAATTGCTTTGTGTCATATGTTACGTAATGAAGGATCGGATAAAAACCGTCATACAATTTTGCTGTACGAATAAATTTATTTATTACCGTTTCAGTTTCTTGTCTTATGGAATAACGACGGCCTGCTTAAATCACTGGGCTACCAGAATTTCCCATTCATCAGAATGCTTCAACTCTTCTGCACTTCTTACCGTTTTAATCATGTGATTGTATTCAGCCGAATTCTGTGGAAATCTAAGGGGAAATGAAGAAAATACTTGCGGAATAGGTTGTCTCTTCATACAAAAGAACACTACATCAGACGATATACTTCAGATAATTGCTTGACGTGTTGATCCTGTACGAAGACGAAACATTTTAGAACGTAATATAATGATAATTTCCCGCATTATGTGTTCACATATTGTTTTAAATATTATTATTATTACCATCAAGAGACTTGAGAACAGTTCACATTTATTCAATTCTCAACAGGTTACAGACATCAGCTCTCCGGTAGAAAATTCTTAAGTTCCCCTTGAAGTTACGTCGTAAAATATTCAACAGGTCAAAGTCAGTAACACCTGATTATCTTATTGAACTGAATTTTTGATTTCCCCGTCGATTGATTGGACCGAAGTGCTCGGTCTCATGACCCGTTGCACAAGAGGTGGCTCTCGTGGCCCAAGTGGTCTAGTGGATAACGCTTTGGCGTTTGAAACTATGGGTACTGGGTTCGAGCCTCGGTGGGAACATCATCACTCACTGAGAAATGCAGGTACATCCAGATGACGAGTCCCAAATAGGACGAAATGCGCATCCTGACTGGATTCCACTGCTAGCCACCATCCACCAGTTGTATACCTGATTATCTTGTCTTTTGTAATTCCTATTGACTTCGGTGTGTGTATGTGTGTGCATGTGTAACACACACACTTGTCATTCCGAATCATCCATCACATTTTCTAATGGAAACATTTAAAATTGAAGCAGCGTAAAAACTGTGCTGACCTAAGCCTTTTTTACAAAAATATAGTGAAGATGTAACGACAGAAGAAAAAGCCAGGCAACAGATCCTTTATTGAGAAAATCAAGAGATATTTATAGATTTTTATGTACATTAATATTAGCGTTATTGTTATGAGAAAAGCATCGTCTTCTGATTGGTTGTTCTCTTGATGAAGGTTATTCTGTCACCGCCTTGTGGCTGTTTCTTAGAAAGTCAGGCCATATATCTGCGAATCGTATTTGCACACGTTAAGACTGCTGTGATTGGTTGTTAAGTTCCTCAAGGCTAAGGTTTCTTACTGTTTTTTTCTCATGACCTCTATTCGGAAAGTAAACACCGACGTCACTTGTTGTCTACAATTTCGGCTAGCAGACAGCTCTCACCAGAGAGAAACTGTGTCACAGACTCCACAGTTTATATGAACATTTTCACCAAAGATAGGTAATTTATCTGACATTTTTGAAACTGATTAAAAATGCCCACTCTTTTTAATTATATATAGGCAGCATACGCCGGAACAAGAAAGATCAAATTTACAGTAAAATATAATATCACTGTATTTCACAGGTTCTCATCAGTTACTGCAGACTCTCTGAAACACAAGATGCTTATAAAAGAAGGAAATTAATAATGTAGTTCAATGCTGGAATGATAGGATAGAAAATGTTATCAAATTAACGCACCCAAAACCTAAGCATTACTAATTTTGTGGTTTGGATCATCATCAAATTACATGCTTTTCAAAATAAAAATACGAGTAATGGAGAGCAGGTCATAAAAAGAGGGCAGAAGAATTTAATAAACAGTATTCACTTATAACTTTCCATAGCAACCCAAGAAGATTATAATCCATACGACTGTAACTGTGGAAAGTTGTACAGTGGGAGTTTGCTTAGCTGATAACCACAAGGTCCATGAATCAAACCTCTGCTCTGCTAACAGCATTGCTCCAGTGATCTGAAGTTGCAAACTGAGGAGACTGCGTTCCATCCCTAGTTGACTCATAGGTGTATACTGATGAACAGTCCCAGACTAGGATGAAACAGTACACTCCAGTTTTCATCCACCAGGGGTTTGGCAGTAGAATTCCCGCCAAACATGCTCAACGTGGCTCAGGGTTCGATACCTAGACAATGCCTCACTTCATCTTGCTTAGCATATAGTAAGCCAGGTAAAGAGGATGGGATGGGCATGTGACTAGCGAACTCGACCTGTAAAAAAACACTGTTGGTACTGAAAATTCAAAGCTCCGACCTTAAAGCCCAATATTTTACCTGGAAAGCAAAGAATTTACAAAATGATGGATGAATCCTATGCAAGACATTCCTTTACTTTACTAGGTGAAAATGTTCTCCATAAGACTTGAATATCTCAGTCATCCCATAGGCACACTGAGTTGATTAGAAGAAGTAAGAAGCAATAAATATCTACTTTTCTTATTTAGAATATCTAAATAATAAATTCTGATGCTAAACTACTTTACTTTGTTTACAATTTTAGATGTTCAGAGTATATTAGAATATACGACAACTTGCAGGAAAATGAGCTAGGCGCTGATGATCCATACAGTTATGAGTTATGCGGTACACTGAATGAAATGGAACAACAACACTATATCTCAAAGAAGAATATCCTAATTATAGAAGCACGTCTATCGACAACTGGTTCAACAAATTCACAATTTAACGGTTTCACTGGAAAATTTATTTTTGAACCTAAAAGTATGTTCTTTTTTAATAATTTTATACGACTATAAAGCTATTTTGCTTAAAACTTGGTAATGAAATGTCTCCCAGTTTAAGTAAGAATTCTATTATCCCTAGTTTGTTTTTTTCCTACTGTATTTTATAGAAGTGTTCGTTTATTTCCCCTCATAATTTCATGACTAGAAGTGGTTAGTTTCATCTTGTGAAGCAAGAACACTCAATACTGACTCAGCTGTACAAAATGTCCATCAGTGAGGTCCATTCAGATGTCACGTGTGAGGATGGATGTCCCACTGATGGCATTGGTTTGGGTCGTACTAAAGCACGAATGGATATAAGTTAGAATTCATGAGCCAATAAATCGGGCCCCAGTGGCTGAATAATATACGAGCTTGTCTTGCAACCTGGATGTCATGGGTTCGAACCTCAATGGGTGTGTATTGACGATGATTCCCAATTTAGGATGAAACAGCTGTCCAGTACTCCAGTGCTGGCTTTCAATGGTTATCTAACTGATATCGATCAGTGATCAACTCTATAGATTACTCTATAGAGTATTTTTGTGATTATTCTTACCGTTATTCATTCCATGCATTTTGAGTGGGACATTAAATCATGATTGGCACATTTCTATTTCACTTTATTCGTTGCTACCACTTTCACTGGGCTTGATGACTGCCTATACGCCTTCGTTTCCTCCTTTGCATAACCTCCTCTATGTTAATAAGGAATCTACACCCATCTTATGGCTTCTTGTTCGTATCCCACTAGAAGACCCATTTAGAGTGTGGTATTACTTAATGATCCCCCATTTAAACTCGTCATCATGGATTTTTGCATAATTGTTTGACAATATGCTATTGATATAAGAATAGGACTAGGGCACTGTAATTAGAATATAACTCCACTATGCAGAAAAATGTTTTTATTAAGTCTCAAGTCGGAAGAATGTGTGAGTAACTTGATATGATTATGATTAACATATTGTGCTTGATATTTTCTCAATAAATATTCCTGTATAATACTGTAAGACTTCATCGAATAAACTTTCCCTACAACAGTGGGTTGTTAGTTTTTTCACTGCCTGTCCAAATTCCTTGTAGCGTACTAATCCTTTTCGGTCAACCATCTAATCTTCAATATTCCGTAAAGGCAGCTGTTGATGAAAGTTTGTAGTACCCTAACGGAAATACTTTGAGTAACACGCTAACAAAGTCTATGAGACACATAAATCACTCACTGACGTCACAATAGTCTTAAATATTGGGACATTTTTCATGCTTCCCTGATCTATGATGGCTCTGATATTTAAATCTGTACTGTCGGTAGAATGTTACCGAGATAAGTGAATTAAAAAGCTTCTTTACAATCCTGCGCCAGAAAGTGGGAAACGAAAAGACAAGAATATCCTGGACCAACGTGAAGAACCTAGAAGACCTGGATTTCGCGTGAGGATGATTTATGTTTGATGTCACACAAAAACGAAAAATTACAAGCAAACGAAAACCGACAAACTGGTCGAAAAAGCAGACAGTTAAGACAGGACTCCAGGTGAACATAGACAAGACGGAGGTTATAAAACTAACCAACCAACAACAACAACATCCAGCGTCAATCACCATCAACGGGAGTGATTTGAAAGAGGTTACTTCATTCACTTATCTAGGAGCATTGTCTCAACTACAAGAGGAACAGACGAGGGGTCAAATCGAGAATCGGGAAAGTGAGAAACACATTCATCAACCTAAAACCAATCTGGAAATCTTCGTCACTCAGTATCAACAACAAAATCCAGTGGGATTTTAAATACAAACGTCAAGTCAGTCAGTTCTTCTATACGGATCAGAAACTTGGCGGGTGGTTCACAAAGAATATTTCCAACAGCCTGTTGTAGACCTTTATCAACCAACAACTGTCTTCGCTGCATAGTGAAGATCAGATGGCTGGGCCGGAAATAAAATCACCAACAAGAAACTATGGGAGGAAACAAAACAAGAACCAATCGCCAACCAACAAATATGCAGGAGAAAGTGGAGATGGATTGGACACTTGCTGAGGAGGCCACTGGGTGACATTGAGCGCGCATCAGGCTATTGCTCGAGTGAAAACCGAAAGGGAAGCGGCGAGTAGGACGTCAATGCAAGGGTGACATGGAGGAGATCGTGTGAAGAGGAGTTGAAACAGTATGGACTAACATGGATGCAGGTGAAGAGTACAGCAAAAGACAGAAACAAGTGGAGATGTGCAGTTGAAGCCCTATGTTCCACTAGGAACCCAAGGGAACAATAATACTAATATTTACAATTTCTCTCGTAGATGGAGGTCTATTTTTTTGATAACGGTTGGGTATCTTCACCACATCTGTTTCTTTTTTTGTTCATCTGAATTTCTATCTTCTTGATCTTTTCTGTCAGCTTGCAGCGGTCAATTTCTGAACTGCGAAACCTCAAGTTCCGACCACAAAGATCCAATAAGCTTATTGGTAGTCTTGGGTATATCTCAGTGATTACTAAAAATAAGCGTGAAACAGAAGTTTTGTCAAAGTTACCTTTTTACTAATTTATAACGCCCGATAGCTGACTGATTACTGAAGGTACCGCAAAATTTATCAAGTGATTTATGTTGTGTGTCATGGATTTCTGAACTACAGTCAAAAAAGTTTCCCAGTTACTTTAAACAGTTTTCTTATAAATGCACCAGAAGTACTTTAAATGCTCTTGTTGTATTGCATTATAATATTGTCTTTAGCCCAGATAATGCCCTTTTAGACTTCACTCACTCTTTCGATTCTACTCTCAGCGCGAAATGGGATGGTTGTCCACCTATTTCTTTGGTAGGAAACTATTTTCTGTCTTCAAAGGAGAGTATTTCAAATTTTTTCTTACAGAAGCCGGTGTATCTTAAGGTGATATGCTTTCCCCATTTCTTCCAGAACTAATTTCACTTAGTATGATGATGATCTGACAATTACTGTTCCAGTTATTTCTGCATTAGATGGTTCTGACATGAAAAATTCCTATCTGAGGTTAATCACTTATGTCATTTGAATGATCTCAAATTGAATCCTTCTAAATGCTAGACTGTTAATTTTACTCTTAGGCGTTAATAGGGACTTGCATGGACTGATTCAGTCCTAAGGTATTTGTAGTATCAAGTGCATTATGATATAGGGAGTATATCGAATATCTTCTATCTTCAGGCTAGTTTCTTTTTAAATATTTGTTAGTCATCTCATATCCTGATGATTTCTTAAATAAACTCTTTTGTTTTGGCATAACTCAACCTCTTCTCTTATAATTTATTAATTCATATATTCTGCTAATTCTTCTTTACTGCTCCTCCTTGTTTTTTTCCTGGACTTTTCGAAAAAGACTATATTATTTTACGTAGAACTTTCCACACTGTGGACAGGGTTAATCATGTGCCTTTGACTAGACTAAATGACACTGTTGCTGAGAGGTATTTTATTTCTTCCTAGCATTTCGCTAAAGTCTGACACTGAACACTTTTGATGTGGTTTTGTTCTCTGAGCTGGATGATTAGTTTGCGAAGCTTTCATCACCTTACTGGGTGACATCTTCAGCGCATACTTCAATTTGAATTGAAGTGAGCTTTTAGATTTCTCCACGAGTTTATTAATCATCTCTCCTGGTGACCTTGGATGTGATTGGTTGTTTGTGTGTGTTTTCACACCATCTAGGCTACTTGTATTGGAACCGGTTGTTTCTTTGACTTGAACTTTGACCCTTTGTGTGTTTGTGAGGCTTCTTTCTTATCGGTTAGTAAATTTTGTCTATCTCGATGTGTCTATTGATTGATGATTCACTGGAATACCAGGCTGGCCTCTAAAAATTCTCTAGCATTTTTGTTATTTCCTTTGTCTAATAACTGGGACAAGCTTCAAATATTAGACAGAGGAAACAACAAAAATGCTAGAGAATTTTTAGAAGCTTGGCATTCCAGTGGATCATCAATCAATAGACACATCGAGATAGACAAAATTTATCAGCAGATAAGAAAGAAACTTCACACACAAAGGGTCAAAGTTCAAGTCAAAGAAACAATCAGTTCCAATACAAGTAACGTAGAAGGTGTGAAAACACACACAACCAACCAATCACGTCCAAGGTCACAAGGAGAGATGATTATTGAGATTATATTATTTATTATTATTCACTATGACCTAGAATAGTGTGATTTTGTTGGGTTTTTTTTACTTTTTTTGTTTTTTCCTATTAACTATCAATATTTTAACATTCTATACATTTATATAATTATAAACAGAGCTAAACCATTCCAATATGTAAAAGAAACGCTGAAAATTCCATGCTGTAAATTTTTATTGTTGTGGAATAAAGTGATTATTATTATTATTATTAATAAACTCGTGGAGAAATCTAAAAGCTCACTTCAACGAATTGAAGTATGCGCTGAAGATGTCACCCAGTAAGGTGATGAAAGCTTCGCAAACTAATCATCCAGCTCAGAGAACAAAACCACATCAAAACCATCCATTTGAGTTACAAATCTTCTCTATCATACTTGAACACTTTGTTTGTTTTCAGCTTCTTTCGTGCATCTCTCCCTGAAAATACAGAAAAAAATTTCATAAGTATTTATGTTCACAGAGGTAAATATTAAAAGTTCAACTATACCATAATTAGAACGTAGGTTACATGAAGAGATAAGTGTTAGAAAAAGACACTTTGATGGGATATTAGTCAAGTTTGCAATGAGGCCACCACTCTAGGCGGCTCGTCATCACAGTGCCCTTTCAACTGTTGATATTCTATGGTTAGAGATAATCGACAGGAAGCCTTGGACTGATAGAATCTAGCCGGCATCAAGCAGAGGACTAAACACATTACGCTAGTTACTAACTAGTTTTTAAACAAAATATCCTATACAGTCAGTCCTACAGGAGGTGAATTGCAAGTCCGAATAGCTCAGAGTGCAGGCAGTACTGGATGATGTCGGTTGGAATCTCAGAGAAGACATGTAATACTCCTTCAAGT